GACGAAGCATCTGGAGGAGCAGGTGGAGACGCTGCTCAACGAGGGGACGAAGCTGAAGATGGAGAACAAGCTGATGCGCAGCGAGGTGCGCGCGCTCAACGACGAGGTGACGTCGCTCACCGAGCGGATCACCGGCGAGCACGAGGCCCTCGAGCGCGCCAACGACGCCCTCCACGCGCTCCAGATGGAGGTCCTCGACAAGGACCGGCAGCTCATGCGGCTCCGCAAGCAGGAGGACGAGTTCGACGCCGTCCTGGCCAAGAAGGACGCCCAGCACGCCGCGCTCCAGGTCAAGCTCGAAGAGAGTACGCTCGCGCCAACCGTCTCGCAGCTGTCGATGCAAATGACGTGGCGCGCGCGCTTAAATGGTGAACTGAATGTAACGTGGCATGTGTTGGGTGGTTGGGTGGTGTGGCGCGGCAGCGAGTCTGCATGTGACGGGGCTGGAGCAGACGACGAACGCGCTCAAGCAGGAGATCGACCGGCTGCACCGGGAGAAGGACGAGACCAACGACCTCCACAAGCAGTCGATCGCGCTCATCAACGCCAAGATCGTCGAGCTCGAGAACCAGCTCAAGGAGGAGCGCGAGAGCGCCAGCTCCCAGCGATCGCTAGGTACGTGCATGTGCAGTTGTGTGCGTGTGCGTGTGCGTGTGTGTGTGCGCGCGTGTGTGCGCGCGTGCGGTTTGCTGATTGTCTGGCGTGAGCAGCGTTGGAGAGGGAGAGGAACCTGGAGTCGGACATCAGCGAGTACACGAAGGCGTTGGGCCAGGCGCAGCGGGCGATCGAGGACAAGAACAAGCAGGTGGAGAAGCACATGAGCACCATCAAGGAGCTCGAGGCCAACGTACAGGGCCTCAAGCAGGAGCTCACCGACTACAAGCTGCGCGCCAAGAAGGTGCTCCAGCAGCGGGAGACCACCATCCAGGAGCTCACCGAGAAGCTCACCTCCCCTGGTACTGTGCCTTGCCAGCACCACCGCCACCTTAGCAATTACTCCAGCGAAGCCGCCACCTTAGCAACCTCCGCCTCCTTAACGCTGTTGTGTTGGATGGACGTAAAAACGAGCAGGCGCGGCGAACGCGGAGGAGGGCGAGCTGCAGGAGAAATGGAAGGAGCTGATGCTCCAGAAGCAGGCCTACGAGAGCCTCAAGAACGAGTTCGACGAGACCCGGGACGAGCTCAACAAGATCAAACAGAACCTCGCCCAGACCCAGGAGCAAGCAGGTAACTCACTCGATCACGCTGTGTTGTTACGTTGCGTGTCGTGCGTGTGCGTGCGTGCGTGCGTGTCGTGCGCTGACGCCGCAATGCTGTGTGGAAAACAAAATCAGAGCACGACGCGCTGGAGTTTGAGGAGCAGGTCAAGGCCCTGGAGGACGAGCTCGAGAGGGAAAAGGAGAAGGTGAAGAAGATGCAGTTCGAGCTCGCTCAGAAGATGCAGGAGCTTCACACGGTCAAGGACCAGCAGAACCAGGCCACCAATGGCCTCAAGGAGCAGGTCAAGGAGCGAGACGCCCAGATCGCCAAGCTCAAGCGGCAGATCACTGTCAAGGGTACGGCCTCACTGGTGCCAGCGCTGTCGTGTGCTGTGTGTGTGTGTGTGTGTTGTGTGCGTTGTGTGCGTTGTGTGCGTTGCTCACTTCTCTCCAACCTGAATTCAGGCATCCAGTCGCAGTCGAGTTCTCAGGCCGAGCTGGAGAGCAGCCTCAGCGCGATGACCGACCGCCTGATCCGGCTGCAGGCCCTCAACGAAACGCTCACCAACGAGAAGGCCGCCCTCCAGATGCGCCTCAACTCCGAAGTCCAGGTGCGTTTCGTGTGTGCGCGCCTCAAACACTCTTCTTCCGTGGCTGACCCCATTTCTCTTTCCTTCTCTCTGTCTTTCTTTTGCGCGCTGGCACAGAGCCGACGAGAGCGGGAAGGGGTCCGGCGGTCGGGCGAGGTCGATACGAAGCACTCGTCGGGCGACATAACCTCCATCATCATCAACACGGGGGCTGAGCCCAGAGAGAAGTCGGGTACGACCTCGCACCCGCTGTCGCTACGGCTGAAGAGTAATCAGTCAGTCAGTCAGTCAACGGCGAGCTGATCGATTGATTAATTGATTGATTGATTGATTTCGTATCTTGAAAGCAGGTCCGCGATTGCGCTCGATCGCTTCCCTGGTCCCGGAGTCCTGGTCGGGAGATCCCGAGTCCAAGAGGCACCAGGTCTACACCCACACCCTCCGCGCAGCCAGCGCCCTCGACAACTTCACGTACGCGCCTCTTTGTCGATGCCCTCCTCCCTCTCACATATATTTGATCCACTTAGCACCTGACGATTGGCTCTCGCACCCCTCTCTATGTGCAGTGCTCAAGTGGGCAGGATCCTTCGACGCAACCCGCTTGCTCGCCTCCTGTTGATCCTCTACATGGTGCGCTACTCGCTGCTCGGGCTGATGCCTTTTATTTTGTATTTTATTGGTGATGGCGAAGAAGACGCTAACGCCAGCTTCCCAAACATCAAAGGTGTTCTTGCACGTGTGGGTGCTGTTCCTCCTGTCGCGGCCGTTGGAGATCCACGACATGATGGACGAGTCGCTGCCTCCCGGCGCCGTCCCACCCACGGGCCTGCCCCACGCCCTCGTGCACTCCGACTCGCCCGCCGCTGCCGCTGGCATCTAGATCACTCCAAAGCTCTCTCTTGTGTTCGCCTGGGAGAGACCGCGCCCTGTACAGACACCAAGGCAATCGATTATCATTTTTATTTAAATATCTGCTTTTGTCTTTATTTTGCGCCGGGACAGAAGGAGGTGGCGCCAGGCTCGCGTAGAAGGAGAAAGTGGGCGTGATGAAGAATGGACACGCAACTGCTGTCGCTGCAGGACCAAGGAGCAGCTGCCCTCAACAAATAAAAAGAGATCAAAGGTAAATGTTTTCTGCTACTTCTTGCGTGTAAACCTTGGCGCTAATGCTCACCACCCATCACGACATGGGCAGGGTGTGGTCCAGCGTTACATCGCCACGGTCATGGCGGACTCTGTTGGAGCGAGAGCGACCAGCTGTTCGAGGGGGTACACTTTACCACAGCCACGCACAGAAAGGTCGCTCGACCGCCAATGCGAAGCCGCCCAAGAGCGTTCGTTGACTCGTGGCGCACCTCCTCTTCTCCCGTCGCAGCACCCGTTATTGTGCAGTGACCACCGCCCACACGCCTACCCGCCCCAGCCGAGACCGTGCCAGACTGCACCCCTGTTACCGGTGAGTGCCCCAACGAGGAGTACTCCTATGTAGTCTACCACGTACGCAAGCTGCGCGCACCGCGCCGCTCTCTATGGAGAGACCAAGGCCAAGTAGCGGGCCACACGCGACGGCAAAGCGCCGAGCGGAGGAAAGCGAGCGCAAGCGGAGGACTGGCGCGCTACGCGAAGGCAATACAGGGTCTTGTAAAAGAGAACCTCGCAAGGTGCGCCCAGGCACTGTCAGTCGGACTTACCGCTTGCCGTCTCTGTAAACGAGTGCACACTCTCACCACCGTTTTACAACTCACCCGGCCCGCCCAGGCTCCGTCAATCAGTGCTGCTGCACTAGGATTCGCTACGAAGGCAGTGAGTGAAGAAGCACGCGAGCTGAAGTCTGTGGTGGCAACAAGCTTGTGTGGGTATGATCTGGCTTCCTGCTTGTACTTTTGTCGCCCTCGACGTGTTCAGTACGCTACGCGAGGACGCGAACACGTACGTGTATCTTGCGCCCGGTTGACGGCGACGGCCGCCACCCTTCGCGAACACCTTCCAAGCCAAGGCAAGAAAGACGGAACAAGAAAACAGATAGAGAAGTCAGAAGAGTGAGAAGAAGAGCGAGAATTTCTCCACCGGGGCGGAGCTCTCGCCTGTAATGCCCATCTCAGTGCGACGAGACGGAGGGAGGTGTATTAGGGTTGCCGAGTTAATTGGCCTGTGCACAAACAACAGGGGAGATGCACGCCAGGTCAAGAGGCCAGGTCTACCAGCAGATGAGGCGATTAACGCGTTGCCCAATCGACGCACAGCTGGGAACTGCAACTCCGAACGTGCTAGCTCATTGCAATGGATTTTCCAGTCTATAATCTGTCGACACCATTAAAAAGCGACAGGAACCCAACCGCCTGCGTTCTGAGTGGCGGGAAACTTTGTAAAATTAATTTCGCGCTGGTGTAGTTGGCGTGACGTTGCCGTCCGTGGTTGATGCTGTACGGATCGCACAGTACTTCGCGCGGACCAGCCCTCAACGGAGTCTCGTCCCCGACGCAGCTCGCGGGTCTGCGGTGTTCGGCCTTCCTCGTGGCCGTTCTTGTTTTTTCGTATTCTTCTCTTCTCGTGTACAAACACACGCCAACCACCAACCTCCCCTCCTCCACCCCAACCGCCTCGCCTTTCGCCCAAGGTGAGTGAGTTCGGGCCGCGAGTTTGAGCAAGGAGAGAGAGTGAGTCCCGAAGCAAAGCAAGCTTCGGATACTCGCACGGTTTGGTTGCATCCAACTAAACTCCACGGAAGGCATCCGAAACCACGCGTGCGCTTTCCCTCAACTCCCGCACCTGCCCTTGCCCTCGCCGCAATTTCTTCTTGTGCTCTCTACTTTCTCCTCCTTCTTCTTCTTACAAAGACGAACTTGCAGTTGCAACAGCAGCCGGACGAGAGGGGGCACACAACAAAGGAGGAGCCGAACTATGCCAGAGAATACGAGCGGAGGACACTCCGACGGGGCCGACCCGTCGGAGGCCCTCCTCCTGCTCGAGGCTCTGAAGCGGTTCGAGCAGGGCGACTTTAGCGTCAAGCTCGACCCCAAGGGCGAGATGGAAGGCGTCTACGGCGAGATTGCCGAGGTGTTCAACCGCATCGTCGACTCGAGCAGCAACATGTGCCAGGAGCTCGAACGCGTGCACGTCGCGGTCGGCTCCCAGGGCGACTTCAATCAACACATCTACCTCGAGGCCAAGGGTTCGTGGGGCAGCTGCATCGACTCGGCCAACCACCTGGTCGACAACATCATGCTCCCCATGATCGTCGTACGCGACGCCATCGGTGCCACCGCCCACGGTGACCTCGTCAGCGCCCTCGACCTTCTCCAGAACACAGAGGTACCCCTCTCCTTGCCCATCAGAAGTGCATCACCGCTTGACCTTCTTTCCGTATTATTTGGGGGGTCTCGGCTTATTACTTCTCCTGTAATGTTCACCGTGTTGCATGTCTCTTGCCCTTTTCGAGCATTATCTGTGTTTCAGCCATTTTTCTATTTGTTTTGCTCCCCGGTAATATTCGGGAATCGTTCGCGCGGAAATTCAAGCTGGCGCGAACCGGTGCAATCGTTTTTTGTGTAGCGCGTTGATTGAGAGGCGATTTGGATCAAGATGTTGGTGGCTAACCGACGTTTCGCTCCTCGTTGGTGCTCCTCTCTCAGGTGCAAGGCGAGTACAGGCAGACGACGAACTCGTTGAGCGAGATGATCAACATGCTCAGCTGCTTCCAGGAGGAAGTGCTGCGAGTCGTGTGCGACGTCGGTATCGAGGGCCAGCTCGGCGGCCAGGCGCAAGCCGGCCTCGGGCTCCAGGGCATCTGGAAGGACCTCACGGACAACGTGAATACGATGGCTACCAACCTCACCCTCCAGGTGCGCGCCGTGGCCCAAGTGACGACTGCCGTCGCCAATGGCGACTTGTCGAAGAAGATGACTGCCGAAGCGAAGGGGGAATTCCTCGAGCTCAAGAACACGATCAACACCATGGTGGACCAGCTGAATGCGTTCGCCTCTGAAGTCACGCGCGTCGCCCGCGAGGTCGGCACTGAAGGAAAGCTGGGCGGTCAGGCCCAAGTCGCCGGTACGTTCTCTCCGCCTTCCTCTTCTTCATCCGCGGTCAAGCGCGTTCTCGTTCAACCGTTTTCTCTTTGTGACTACGGATTTGCGCTACTCCGGTTCTGTGGGACTCGTAACGAGTCAGGTGCCCTGTGGTTGACCATGTGACTGCGCACGCGTTCTATCGCACACAGGTATCGGTGGCACATGGAAGGATCTGACCCACAACGTCAACACGATGGCGGCCAACCTTACTGGTCAGGTGCGCGCTATCGCTCTCGTCACGACGGCTGTCGCCAACGGCGACTTGTCGAAGAAGATCACTGCCGAGGCTCAGGTGCGTTTCAGTTCGCTACACCTAGCTTCAGCTCCCAACCACTTCTAGGTTGTCTGCTGCTCACCTCGTACATTGACCTCGTAGGGCGAGATTCTGCTGCTGAAGAACACGATCAACACCATGGTGGACCAGCTCAACTCGTTCGCGTCGGAGGTGACCCGAGTCGCGCGCGAAGTCGGCACAGAGGGCAAGCTCGGCGGCCAGGCCAACGTGAAGGACGTCTCGGGCATCTGGAAGGACCTCACACACAACGTCAACACCATGGCCGCCAGGTTGACGGGCCAGGTGCGCGCCATCGCGCAAGTGACGACGGCTGTGGCGAAGGGCGATCTGTCGAAGAAGATGACGGCCGAAGCCAAGGGCGAGATCCTCGAGCTCAAGGTCACAATCAACACCATGGTGGACCAGTTGAACTCGTTCGCCTCCGAGGTAACCCGAGTGGCTCGTGAGGTCGGCACAGAGGGTAAACTCGGCGGTCAAGCCCACGTCAAGGGCGTGTCAGGCATCTGGGAGGACCTCACCAACAACGTCAACACCATGGCTGCGAATCTCACGGGCCAGGTGCGCGCCATCGCACAAGTGACGACAGCGGTGGCGAGCGGCGACTTGTCGAAGAAGATCTCGGTCGACGTGAAGGGCGAGATTCTCGAGCTGAAGAACACGATCAACACCATGGTGGATCAGCTCAACACGTTCGCGTCGGAGGTCATGCGAGTCGCGCTCGAGGTCGGCACAGAGGGCAAGCTCGGCGGCCAGGCCATGGTGCGAGGAGTCGCCGGCACGTGGAAGGACCTCACAGACAACGTGAACACCATGGCGGCCAACCTCACGGGCCAGGTGCGCGCCATCGCCGAGGTGACGACAGCCGTGGCGCGCGGCGATCTGTCGAAGAAGATGACCACGGACGTGAAGGGCGAGATCCTCGAGCTGAAGAACACGATCAACACCATGGTGGATCAGCTCAACTCGTTCGCGTCGGAGGTGACCCGAGTGGCCGGCGAGGTCGGCACGGAGGGCAAGGCT